CTTTCTAAGCAGGAAGTGTGTGTGATCACCGTGGCAGAGAAGAGGACCTCCCGGTTACTCCCAGGCATTTTGTGGGTTCATAGGGCAGAGCTCCTCAAGGGCAGGGTGGCCCAAGCATTCCAAGTATCTCAGAAGCCTGTAGAGAGGAAATGCCCAAATGCAGAGGTGAGGGGACAGTGGCCTCCAACAGAAGTCAACAACCCGGAGAGAACAGTCAGCCAGAGAAGAGGCAGAACCTACAGAAGACGGCCTGAGGATCCCAGCATCAGCTTTCTCAAGAGTCCCTAAAAGCTCACCCTTGACGTAAGCAGGTGGGCAAAAAACACACACAAACACACTCACTCATAGAGCAACAACAAAAGAAAAAAATAGTTGAGGGGCCGGGCCCGTGGCTTACTGGTTAAGTATGGCACATTTTGCTTCGGCAGCTGGAGTTCGTGGGTTCGGACGCCGGGTGTGGACCTATACCCCTCATCAGTCACATTGTGGCAGTGACCCACACACAAAATAGAGGAAGACTGGCACAGATGTTAGCTCAGGGCAAGCTTCCTCAGCAGAAACAAAAACAAAAACAAAAACAAAAACAATAGTTGACAGTAACTAACAAAGCAACAGACAGTAAGGACACCAGACCTGGCCAAAGTTCTTTCTCCTCTAGAGTCTGTGGCAGACCTTATGAAATAAGCAGGAGAGAACCTCACTGCCCACAGCACGAGGTTAGCAGTAGAGCTAGAGTGGTAAATTTGGAAGGAAGGAAAGATTGGGGGAAAACTCTCATTAAATCCCAAACAGGACAAAGTCTGTGCAGCAAGACTCACTGTCACATATTACACAGTCAATTCCTCATAGCTGGGACAATGGCAGGGGTAAGAAAAGACGAAGTGCGACTGAGCAACCTTACCCTGAGGAAGTACGTCTATTTGGGGGATATCCGTGGCACCACGTGTGAAAGGTCATTCCCTGCCGTCCTCGCATAGCCTTATATTCCTTACACTGTCCACTCCCAGTCTCTAGGACCCCTTCCCCCCGCCCCAGGCTCATCTACAAAGAACTTACTCTCAAAATCAGGCAACCGTCCTGGACTCCACCCCTGTGGCTCAGGAAGTCATACACCCTGTGAGCAACAGGTGCCTGAACAGCAGCCCCTGGAGCTGCCTCATCTACACAAGACACGCCCCTGGCCTGGCTTCATTTGCTGTTACCTTCCTACCCACCCACGCTCAGCCCCCTGCCGGCACATTTCCCCTCCCACTCCACCCTCCTGGCCAATGGTAGGACAGCAAACTGAGCAGGAAATGACGTCTTCACCCTCCAAGTTTAGGCAGAGTGTGGAACGCTAGGCCTCGTCCTTGTGGGTGGTCGTTCATCCAGAGACCAATTTAGAAAAAGAGCCGCTGAAAAGGAAAACTATAATGGAAGTAACAAGAACAAGAACAAAAAACAATTTTCAGGATTATGATAAGGGTATGTTCTAGAAACCTTAACCAAAATTTTAAGGGAAGAAAAGGAGAAGAAAGACAAACCCAAAAGGCACTTCAGGTAAGTACAGATATGAGGAACAGGATTTCCAGGAAGAAAAGAGCTGTTATGACCCTCTCCTGCTCACCAGGGGGAAGGAGTTGGGAGCAGCGTCCTGCAGTTTCCTGGGAAGAGGAAGGGAGGGAAGGGCCCTGCACCTTTGTGGGAGAGACCCCACAGAGCCTGCCAAGTCCTCCGTGACTTTGGTGGAGGCTGCCAGGCACCAAAACTGGGTAGAACAGCCTTTGCTACACGATCCAGAGAAATGCGTTCCAAAACATCATACATTTAGGGTGGGTGGGAGAATGACATCTTTATTTTGACTAATATCTGAAAGAAATGTAGCTTTTCCTTCTGAACATGGGCATATGAGAGCCCTGTCTCTTTGTTGCCAAGAGGAGTTTCCGATTCTTATGATATCACACTATGGTAGCTGTAGCTATCTCCACACGATTCTTGGGCTCTATGTCTTCTGGAGCTGGCGGAGTTAGGCAAGGCGGAAGAGCCCAGGGTGCAGCAGCTTGGGGCTAGAAAGACCTGGCATAGAGGCCCGGTGCCTGCCTTTCCTTGAGTAATAGGTGAGCTCATTCATGTGTTCACTGAAGGGTTGGTGGTTCAGGCCCAGCGAGGGATACTGGGTTTTGACTGATCCCAGGTCCCTCTAAGCTATGTTTGTGCTGCACATCCTCTCTTAACCTTATCCTCAGTCTCTCTGCTTTAAATCCAACATGGAAAAGTCCTGCCCAACCCCTAAGGTTCGTGTTGGTTACTAAATGGATTAGGTAGAAAGAATCTCTTTTTTTAAAGGGTAGAAACAAGTTCTGGAGTTCCAGAGCCTAGTTATCTCACAGAGAACATAACCCTTCTTCCGGAGGCTGGGTTTTTACAGCTGCTCATTCCTGGAAAGCTGGTATCAATTCCCGTAAGCCAAATCACCAGCAGCACACCTCTTATTAAACAAGTTGGGTTTTTTACTTGCAGCCAGAAAGAACGCACCCCGTGGTCTAAGTAAGAGGGTGTTTAGAAGAAACCTGTTATAGGATTTGACCTTTGACTGGGTGATTTGTGGAAGGATGGAAGGAAGCAGGGTTTCTTCTATATTGAATACTGTTAGTCAGCAGGGGCAATTCTATGATTCATTTCCTTATGAAAAGAGGAGGATGTTTGGAATTTTGTAAGTTGCACAGTGGCCTTGTTTTTGTCTGTGCCTGGACAAAATTATGAGGTAGCCTTGTTCTGTCTCATGTTATCAAGGTCTCAGACTAATCTTGTCTAAGGTTGGTATTCTGTATCTGAGACTGTTTATCTCCAGCATGAGAACAAAACAGTCCGGCTGTGAGTGTCGGATCAGTTCAGGGCATCAGAGGCTGGTATTTTTCTTTCTCACTGGAAATCCCTAAAATAGAGAACCAGAAAAGAGAGCACCCTGGTCTCACAAGCTCTACCTGCAAACGTGACTGGGTTGCATTGGACTTGGCCGAAGTTTCTTGAATTTCTCTGTCTCAATTTCTCATTTAAAAATGGGTCAAATGGGAGTTTTTCCTTCCTGGGTTGTCCTAGGTTTTAAATGAGTTGTGCAAGTAAAACATTGAGCCCAGTGCCTGGCACGGAGTAAATACTCAGTACATATTAGCTCTTGCCCATACCCATCTGCATTTTTACTATCTGCCTTGTTCTTTTAGACAACTGCAGACCCTTTCAGGGTATGGATGGACCACTATAAATAAGTGTTCTCCAATTGATGGACATGAAATTGATTCCAGTGTTTATTTTTACAAACAATGCTGCAGGGGACATTTATATGTCTATATCTATATCTATATTTATATCAATATCGATGTCGATATCTATATCTATATCTATATCTATATCTATATCTATATCTATATCTATATCTATATCTATATCTCTGTATCGTCACTTGGGTAGTATTTCTCTCCTATTTCTCCCTGTAAAGGGAATTGCTTGGTTTAGAAATATATTTGTACAGATGTAATTTTGCGAAATCATACCTTATTGCCTTGCAAAGAAGCTTTACTAATTCATATTCTCATTCATTTAAGAGAATATTCTTTTTTCCACCCTCTTGCCAACACTGGATAGCACCTGCACCTACCACTTATTTTTGTCAACAATTAACCCCTTATTGAGAGATTTCCTCAAATGAGGTTACACTCTTTGGTCTAACTTAACTGACGTCCTGGAAGAGCTGAAATCAATATGATTTTTCTCTGTTGTCTTCTGCTTTATGTCTGCTCTGTTCTCTCAGATAATCTAGGCCAAGAGCCACGCAAACATATCACTCCTGCTTGGTGGATGCTACTGCCTGTTGGGTCTGCACATTGTCCTGGATTTTGAGGCTGAGGAGCTGGTTCAAAGAAGAGATTTGAGGTTGGGTTCCCCTGACTTTCATTGACAGAGAGTCCAGGCTGCAGGGAAGGGAACTCACTAACCCTGAGGAATGGAGTGTCCACGGTTGGAATTTTTTTCCAAAAAATTGGAAAATAGAAGCATTTGAGTTTAAATTTTCATTAGAATAGGACTTCAAAGAATAGATTTTTATTTCTAGTCCAAATAAGAGAAGAGATTGTGTTCAATTCAAAGTACTTTGTTTGGGGAACTTAATATTGTGGTGGTTATGTTGCCCTCCTTGAATTGGTTCACCTATGCTGGGAACTGGTACTTGCTATAAAAACCTTGTCACATGAGTTCAGAAGAACAAGGAGCTAAAAAGAATATGCCATAGGAAATAGAGATAGGTGATGGATTCATAGATAATGTTGTGTGTAGTTAAGTATTGTGGCCTCTTTACTCTTTCAGAAGTTTCATTGGTCACATTAAAGAGACATTCCTCCAGCACCTGAAATGCCCTTCATGGTGTCCTTCATGATACAAGGGCTTGGGAACAGTCACATGAAGGTGAGCACAAGCTTTACACGGCACAAGACTTTTATGGTGGTGCTTTGATCTTTTTTGCTTTACGGCGATTAGCATACATGTTCCTGAAAATTAAAAAATCAGGAGAGTAGAGAGAAGCATCGGAATTAGTTCCCTGTTGCTGCATAATAACAGATTACAAAAACAGTGGTTTAAAACAACGCACCTTTGTTATCTCGCAGTTCTGTAGATTAGAAGTCTGGAAGGTCGCGTCTGGGTTGTCTGCTCAGAGAATTGGTTGGTATGTCCTCCTCGTCTGAATAGGTCTAATATTGACCATGTCAGGGTTCTGACCATCTCCCATGAGGGGCTGCCCTTGCCATCTCACGCTCCTCTGGGATCCTCTTTATTGACCTGATTTCTATCAATCGTGATTTCTTTCAGCTCCCTTAGGTGGCTTAGGAGAAAGCCCAGATCTGATCTCTGCCATCTCTTTCTCCAAGAGGAGAAGAAAACAACAGAGGTCTTCATAAAGAAATGACCTATGGGAGGGCTGAGATCCAGTGATTAGAGCAGAGCAGAAATGAAAGGAGAAATGAGAGGACTGCGGAAGCAGGGCCCTCTTTGTGTCCCACATCAGGTAGGAACCCTTCTTGGAAAAGGGGACATTTCCTGTGGAGAGGACACCTTGGACAAGGGACTTTCTCTGCTCCAACTGAGTCATCCTTGCTGCCACTAGGGCTTTAGGGGTCTCCATCTTAGGTGCTTTGTTTAATGGTGAGGGCTTTTCCTTGCATGAAAATCTCCTTGGCATTTTTATCTGAAATGCAGTTTTGGGGGCCTTATCCCTGGAGGTTTGTAACAAGCACCATGTTGACTCTGATGTGGGCGTTCTTTAGCTCTGCAGCTGGTGCCCAGGGATTGGAGCCCTGTCTACTGCATGATATCACATTTAATCATCCGACACCCTAGTGGTCAATGCTGCCTTCTCTCTTTTACATTATACATTCTTCTCTCTTATACATGAGAGAAATATGCTCAGAGAAGGTAGTGAAATCATCCAGGAAAGCATACTTGGTCCGTGGTGGAGTTGGTTTTTCAATCTTTGACTGCTTTTCCAAAGCTGTGCTTTTATTGCTTCAGCATAGACCTAGGATAAGATTTGGTTGGAGATATGGTTGGATAGAAGACATCAGTAAATGTTAGTTATTCCTGGTAACTCTTATTTATGCAATGGGAAAGTATTTACTGAGTGTTTTAACTGGCAGTGTCTTGTGGAGGCTCTGGGGAGATGGGGTGAACAAGGCAGACAGAGTGCCTGCTCTCAGGAAGATGAACTGACACAGGAGTCAGACATTTTACGGATGAGCGCATAAGTACATTTTAATTGTGGCTGTGATAAAGTTTATTTAATACTTATGTATGCTTTCGTCTCATTGTATCAGCCAAGATGAAAACTGACTGAGTATATGTAATAAGACTAAAGAACTGTGGTAAAAGAATTGTCCCAGGAAAGGTCCTTCAGATATTTTTGTTGTAACAGTAGAGATACTGGTGTTTGGTCCATGTCCCTGACATTCAAGCATGAGTTCCTGGAGGGTGTGGTAGGCGCTTTAGACAGGAAAGCTTGTGGCCAAGGCTTGTGTGGTGGCTCTGCAGCCATCGAGTGGTGAGGGAGCCTGGGAAAATCTCCTGTTCTCTTTGGGCCTCAGTTTCCTCATCACTAAGATAAGGTTGTTATTCAAATTCTCCAAAATCCTTTCCTGCTCAGTTTTCTCTGGTTGCATGAGGGACTGAGAGGCATATTAAATGTTCCCTGGGAACTGCAGCCAAGATTGGACCTTAGTTCCCTCTCTGTGTGTCTCCTGCAGGAGCCTGAGCTGAGCCCACACACTGAAAACACAGAACTGAGGGAGCAGATGGAATAAAGAAAATCAACTGGTTTGGAGGATGAGAGTAATTCAAAGAAGGTCCAGGTGCTAGTGGAGCAGGTGGTTGCCCAAGGAGGTGAGAATAAGAACAAGTTGAGTTCAGAAACGTCAAGGGGAACTGAGGAATGCTTACAGCATCACCTGGCTCCTCAAGGAGCAGCCTGAGCTGAGCGGTGAGGACTGGGAGAGTAACTTACTCCACAGAGAACCTGTGCTCCTGCCAAGGAGATCCAAGGATGGATCAGGGTTGGTTTCTACCACTGGGGAGCACGAGTTCCAAGTGGAGGAGGATGTGACCATGAGGCTCTGCCCCAGACCCCCAGCCTCGACTTTGGGGCTGCCCACACAGTGGATGCCCTCCGGTAAGTGTGGGCTTAGAGGGATAAGTGATGTTTGGAGAAGGGTTGGAGATGTCAGTTCTTGCCTTGAACAGTTCTACCCTAAGGTCAGAAAGTACCAGGGTAGGGGGAGCCTTGCATCTGAAGCAGTGATACTAATAATAGTCTCCTGCATTTATGGATGAGAAAGTCTTTACACACAATATGTTTTAGATATTTCTTGATGGCTTAATTTTTCTTATACTGTGTTCAGAACTTGGAATTCAGATATCAGTAAGGTTTCCCTGAGGAAATCAGAGGAATGAGAGGGAGAATACAAACAGATAGTTTCAACACAATATGGTAGCTCTCCTAATCTTGGGTGTTGTGGCTGCCCAGAGGATGAGATTGTAGACCAAGGACATTTCTTCCTAAGGACAGGATAAACCATTGAGAGGAATCCCTGAGGACAGCCATCATCATCAGAGCTGACCACAGGTGAGTGTCATAGGGCATATAGAGAGTGTAGTGAAGTCTCTTCTCAAAGGATGGGCATCAGCTACATCGTGAGAGAGAGCAGAGCATCCCGGACAGGATGTTTGGGATAGGAATGTATTGAAATGAGGAGATTTACAGCCACTTTGATTGGATCAGTGAAAGAATGTCATAAGAGACTCCTCAGGGCTTGATATGGTGCTAGGAGACATGAAGACAGAGATGAATAAAATATTCCAACTTTCACAGAGCTCTCAGTCTAGTAACCAGGAAATCATGAGGGCAGAGATGGTTAGTCACCGGAAGAACTGGCCAGTGCTGCCTAGGGATGACCTCGGTAGTTGTCCTCGTCCCCCTTCTATTTTTTCCAACAGGTAGATGACCTGTTCTGGCCCAATAAACCTGGACCTCAGCCAGATTTCAGCCTCTCAGGATAGAACCAACCTGGGCTGCATGTTGGCTCAAAGCAGTCAACACTACCAAGGTCTCCAGAGGAAACTGCTGATATCAGTAGCTACTATGTCCTGGCCAGCTGGAGACATAAAGTGGCAAGGTGAATAAGTCTTTCAAAAATTCTTTTTATTCATTTTATCTTTTATTGAGGTAACATTGGTTTATAACATTCTATAGATTTCAGATATACTTCATTATTATTTGACTTCTGTATACACTACATTGTGTTCACCACCAAAAGTCTAATTTCCATTTGTCACCATACAAATGACCCCCTCTACCCACATTGCCCTCCCCCTCTTCCCTTCTCGTAACCAGTCTTACACGTTCCTCGCCATAATGATAAGTGATGATCTGTCTTCTCTCTGATAAGTTAAATGCTTTCCAGACTTCAAGATTCTCTCCCCACATCAAAAATACTGTAAATATCAGCCATATTCCTAGAATTTTGGAAACTTGGTATTTCATCCTCAAATTTCAGATCAAATAACTAAAGTAAAAATGGAGTACAGCAACTTCCAAGTTTGCAGTGATAAAGTAGGAGTGTCTGGGACTAAAACCTAGTCCTCTGATATTTAAGTGGTTTTAAACCCAATGACTTTTGTTCCCTTAGAAACAGAGTAAAGTAAGACTCCCTGTTTCACTCCTCTATTCATCCTATCAAGTTCTACAAAATATAACATCTCTACTCATCTAGATAACATGGATTCTAAATTAGTTGAGCTCCATGAATGCGTTTACTGAGCCCCTGTGGGTAAAGCATTGTGCTGATTACACTGGAGGATACAGTCCTTACTGAAGAGAGCTAAAAGATGTCTGTCCACACCGGAGCCTTTGTTCTCTGTAGATGACAGCATCAATAGCAGACACAATAGTCTCATCCTAGAGAAACGGAAGATGATGAGGAGGAGCGATGAGAGCACCTGGCTTTCTACCTCCTGAGGAGTCAGGTCAAAAAGCATCTGGAGAATCTCCTCCAAAGAGTGTCCCTGCTGTCGCTGTCATAGTTGAGTGTCCCAAAGTCTTGGCATGGACCTCCTTCCTGTGTTTCATTTCACAGATCCTATTTAGACAGTAGCCATATCAAGAGAAAAAGCAGAGAGATGGACTCAAAAAGACTGAATAATGTGTGGTTGGGCAAGAAATCTCAAAAACCTTCAAGATCCCAATCAGAAAGTAACATTTTCAAGAATACAATGAATGGGTGGGATTTAGTGTCATGTAGTGAGAGAAAATTTATTGCATTTAGGAGCACCTGACGACTTGTGAAGACAACACATTCCCCAAGTGACCCAAAAGATGGCCCTACATACCAAATAACAGAGAGAGCCACTCACTTCCATTGACCTTATAGAAACAGGAGGTTCATCATGCACTTAAATGTGCTGGAAAAAGTGGCCCTGCCTCTAGGGCCATGGAACAAAGCAGATCCCATGGTAGATGCCATAAGAAGAGGTAGAGTAGATTTCATGACAGTGGCCACAAGAGGATGGAGGAAACGATTTGAGGCTTTCGGAGCTGCAAATGAGTTGGCTCTGAAGAACATTACATCTTGGAAAAACATGTTTAGCAAATGTCAGACCCAGTGGACACTAATATTTAGCCCATGGTCTGCAATCATTCTGTGCATAATTTATTCTGTATTGTCTGGGATCAATAGTGACTTTTCTAAAGAGTGTCGAAAATCTGCACATTAGCACACACACCTGAAATGGAAATGGTATAGTTTTTCAAAAAAGCTAAAATAGTGAAGCAGTTATTTCTTAATTTCAAATTTTAGTTTTTGACCTAACTGAAGAATTGAGTAGCATAGATATTAATTATTAATGATGCTCATAAAGGTGCAGATTTAAAGACAATATGATAACTTTGATAAATAGCAATGCAAAACAACTGTTTTTACAGATAGCAGCACTGTCATCCAGGGATGTCAATGGAAGCAGTGAGCGACATTACAACACCTGAACACCCAACAGGAAACAGGTAAAGGAAGGAGGGCACAGTCAGCCCAATGTATAGAATTATATGTAATGTACACACCATCAGTTGGTTGCTAACAAACCAATGGGGATAAATCTATGTTTATACTGACTCTTGGGTCCTGTCAAGTGGGTGGAGCATTGGGAAACAACAAATTGGAGTGTAAAAAGAAAGTCAGTTGGGTCACTGCCTTTAGAAAACCACTCAACAAAGACTTGAATGTAAGACCTGAAACTATGAAACTTCTAGAAGGAAACATAGGCAGTACGCTCTTCGACATCGGTCTTAGCAACATATTTTCAAGCACCATGTCTGACCAGGCAAGAGAAACAATAGAAAAATAAACAAAGGGGACTACATCAAACTAAACAGCTTCTGCACAGCAAAAGAAAGCATCAACAAAACAAAAAGACAACCTAACAATCGGGAGAATATATTTGCAAACCATACATCTGATAAGGGGTTAATCTCCAAAATATATAAAGAACTGATGCATCTCAACAACAAAAAAACTAACAACTCAATTAAAAAATGGGCAAAGACCTGAGCAGACATTTCTCCAAAGAAGATATACAGATGGCCAACAGGCACGTGAAAA